ATTCGTCTATCTGAAGGAGTGCCACTCAGAAGTATCAGAGTTATGAGCACGGCTGAGGCGAATTGCGGATAAATGTTTAATCGGAGTATTGAATTTTTGGTAGGTGTTTATAACATATATCTCATAGCATCCATCACGTTCAACGCAGCTGCTATACTTCTTGAATAAAGGCATCTCTAAGCTCATGCCGGTCATGTAGAGACCCTGAACCTCATACTGTTGAGGTATGTCCTGCCTGACTAGATACCTGCGGTATACATACTTTGTATACATGGTAAAACTGTCCACTGTCCAGTGTCCTCGTTGAATACCCATTCTTCAACAGTATCTGATAAAGAACGTAAAAAAACCGTTGAATATGATTCGCAGTATGGAATGTTTTGATGTGGCGATTCAGATAAGATATGCATTTGTAGGATCTACCGGAAACTGAATATCCTGATTAAACAAAATTTATCCGCAGTCGCCATAAGCATGCTGATAATTCTGTTATTGCGCAATATATCATATCTCCTTCAGTTAGACGAATGTGTTTGTAATCGCCAAAGACCGATTAAAGCTTTATCTGCTGATAAAGAAATCCCTACGCATTTTGACGATTAAGCGACACGTGTGCGAATACTCCTCCCATTTAATGCTACATGAAGGCTGGGGTGCTGTTATCAATTTGAGGGAAAAAACTGCTAAGGCATGAAGTGAATGACAGGGATTAGAAGTTCAAGGTTATGAATATGATTGTAATAAAATGTTATCAATCAACCACTCACTTATATAAGGCGGCTGGTAGCATCATAATTATTTGTTTCCATGGCGATGTAAAGTAGTGTGAAGCAAAACGTATTTGTACTAACAGTGCCCTCAACCATGAATTGACAGCGCATCTATGATTGCATTTGCTGATGCCAGATAAATTCACACCATTGGGCATTTTGGAGCTGTTTTTAACGTTTCAAATTGAAGTCTCTAATTTTATCTAAACATTTAAGAGATGTCGGGTATGGCATAAGTGTTTCCTGATAATATTTGCCGTCGATTTATTTAATTTATAGTCTAATAATTGCAAATGATGTCATTAAAGTATGGGAGACGACGGGACCAATCTTAACCTTGTTATAATGAGACTATTGGCTAGTCGATTAATTGCCTCATAATGCAGCTTGTACAGTGAACTAATTTTCTATACCGTTAAATATTCTATAAATCTTTCTGTCGAGGAAAGTAAAACAACATTTCGCTTTCGCTTGTGTCCCCGTTAAAATCTTTCTATGCAAAATCAGTTATGTTTAACCACTTACGTCTTAACCTCAGAAAAGTCGGTTTTAGAGGTGCGAAGAAAAACTGAACATGCTGGCAGTGTTAGTGATGAATTATTGGCCAGGCGTGAAACTGCGCGTCACCGCTGCCTGGGTCGAAGAGCACATCCTGCTTCGGGATTCGCTTCACCTCGAAGGTCGGGCTGTGGACATCACAACGTCAGACAAAGACCGAAACAAGAATGGCATGCTGGCCAGGCTGGCCGTTCAAGCCGGATTCGACTGGGTGCACTACGAGTCGAGGCTGCACATTCACGCCTCAGTCAAATCAGGTAGGCGAACGGTTCAGTTACGTCATCAGTACAGTATGTTCGTTCCATTTCAGATACGGTTACTCGTCACAAGCGTGTCCTTCGATGCTTTCC